CTTATGACCACAGATATATGTATTGTGAAAATTGTATGTATGTATGTATGTACCTGCACTTTTCCAGGCGCATAGTTCTTAACCGCACTACCAGTGCGTGTGCTACCTACAGTCGCTTTTCGCGGATGACCGCGCAACGATGTTAAAGCTAAACGTCTTTCCTCAAATTGTCGTTTGGTATTCTCTTTCACACCTTCATCATCTTGATACATTAAACGCTGGGCCACAGAGAATCCAAAATGTTGATGAGCCTCTTGTAATTCCGCCAAAGGCTGTGCACGACACGCAATCCCTCGGCGGAACACTTCATCCGCCTTGCGTGAATTACCGGATAAATCATAATGATATGCCCAGCAAATATAAAAATCTGCTATCATTGTTCCAATGCCAGCGTTGAATAACTGTTGATAGCATTCCATGGGATGAGGATGGCTATCAATCTGTGACACATACGGAAGAACAAATTAGCAACACTTCAATAACGAGAAACCACATATGTACTCACAAATTTCATGTACAACTTAATCATACGCCTATCCTGGAAATAGCGTGCCTCATTCTCAAAACGTAACAAGCACTTTGTAAGAACCTCTTCTAATCCCGATTCCTTGCCGCCTGAGGGAAAGCTTTGCTCAATCCAACCAATATAAGCATACCATGGTTCTAGCGGATCATTGCCGGTGTATCCCTGAATGGCCTTTTCCAATTCTCGACGTTGAGATAGTAGTTCTTGCGCAGACTCTACATGCAGGGATGCATGCAATATACTGGCATTACGTCCTGCTGCCAGTGGTTGTATATTTTCTTTAGCATCTTCGAAATCCATTTTAAAACGCAAGCTGTAACAGTTGTTCTGAATTTAACGTTTCATCCGTGCTTATATGCAAATACAAGTAACAGTTCTTTCCTTTGTTAACAAATTCGATATGAACAAAGATATTTCTCGAGCCGTTAGCAGAAATCAAAATGGGCGCGCAGGTGAAGTTAGATGCAAAGGCTACCAACATCCATTCACAATAATGACTAAGAGCCACCGCACACTGCAGACTTAAGGTAAGATCGCACTAGGGTAGGGTTTTAGTAGTTAGCCACAGCTTGTGTTTTAAGAAAACCAGTTGGAATTAACAATTGAAACTTGGTAAGGATGTTAAGGGAGGTATCCTCTAAAACATGTATAACTAAAAAATATGGTAATTCGCTAGTATGGGGTAACAACCCCTAAGAAAGTCCGGAAAAGTCGGGACGGGTACCCAACGACGCGTTTCGGCCCCCCTATTAACAATCTGGAGGGGGAGGGCTAATATTATTAACCATTTATTTATTTATTTATTTATTTAGTCTACAGAAAAATGTTTTCTTACAGACAGTTGAGATAAAAAGAGTTAGAATATTTAAGTATGTGTGATACATTACAGAGTGAAATAATTATAAATATTAACTTGTAAAGATAACAATGATATTCAATAGCAATTTGGGTAGCTGGCGAGGCCTTGTCTCCAGTCTACTTTTGTGTGCGGCGGGCGGAAAGACCTAGTTTCCGCTCCGCCCTGTTCACAGGCCGTTGATCATGGTCGAGCCGAGGCCGAGCTTCCGATCCATGTTCCCGTAGTCGTTACTTTGTAAGTGAGGCAGGCGGAAAGTCCTAGTTTCCGCTCCACGCTATAGACGAACTGTTGGGCGAGGTCGGAAAGGCCGAGTTTCCGATCCCTGCTCCTATTGTCCTACGCGGTCGCGGAAATATACGAAGCCGTTACAATTGTACTAAGCAGTCATAGATATTGTGTAATTTTTTCGTTCACGGTTGCAGATATTAGTTTATTTAGTTAACTTGTTGAGCAATGTTTTCTTTATTACAAAAAGCGATTCAGATATGTCGATGCAATCATAATGCTTGTTAAAATCTTGGCATAAGCACCGAAAAGCATCATGCATTTCAAAGTTTGATTTACAAATACTCAACACAATAGGTTTAAAATGTCTCGTGGGTCTTGTAGGAATACAAAAATTTATCTCACTCAGTAAAAAGGGACTACTGACCATCCCGTTCATTAATTTAATTAAAAAAAGAACACCAAGCATCTCTCTACGACTCTGAAGCGTCGGCAAATCTATAAGCTTCAGGCGATCCTTGTAGGGTGGGAGATTTTTAGACGAGTCCCAACATAAATTTTTTGAGGGCAAATAACAGGAACTGTTTCTGCACTGATTCGAGTCTGTCACTATGAATTTGATAGCTAGGATTCCATACTATAGATGCATACTCCAAAATCGGTCTAACTAGAGAGGTAAAGAGAACTTTAGTGACATAAGGATCGTTGAACTCCTTGGCCCAGCGCTTAAGAAAAGCCAACAATCCTCTAGCCCTAATCACGCAGGAGTTTATGTGAGACTTGAATTCTAGTTTCGGATCCATAGTTACACCTAGGTCAATGAAATTGGTCACTTGCTCAACATTGTGGTCAGATATCATATACGAATTTGGATAGAACGATTTTCTAGAGAAGGTCATGAATTTACACTTTTTCAAATTTAGTGACATGGAATTTGCTTCACACCATTCGAAAATGCAGGTTAGGTCAGCTTGCAAATGCTCCCTATCTTCTGCAGTACTAATGTACTTAAAGAGCTTAACATCATCAGCGTACATTAAGCATTTCGAGTAATTCAACACCTTAGGAAGGTCATTTATAAATAAAATAAACAAGACGGGACCAATATGGCTGCCCTGAGGTACGCCGGATGTGACATGTATTGGCCGGGAGGTACAATTTTTAAAAATTACTCTTTGTTTCCTATCCACTAAGTAAGAAGAAAGCCAGCTGAGAAGAATAGGAGGGAAGCCAATTCGATCAAGTTTATATATAAGGGTTGAATGAGATACCTTGTCAAATGCCTTGCTGAAATCAGTGTAAATCACGTCCGTTCGAAGATTGTTTTTAAACCCATTAGACACATAAGTAGTGAATTCAAGAAGATTGGATACAGTTGATTTACCTTTGCAAAAACCGTGTTGCGATAGATCAATAGCAGAAGTAATAGAGTGAGATAGTTCTTCCGTAACGATTGCCTCAAAAACTTTAGCAATAGCACAAAGCTTCGCAATTCCTCTATAGTTTACGATGTTAGTCCTACTTCCATTTTTATAAAGTGGCAAGATAAACGAATCCTTCCAGGAAGATGGGAAGACACCCTGTTTTAGGGAAGCATTAAAAATATTTGCCAGAGGCTTATACAAATACTCTGCACAACTTTTAAGAACACTTGTGGGTATACCGTCTGGGCCAGCTGTATATGAAATTTTCAAACAATTCAAATGAATGAGGACGTCCGCAGCAGATATCGATGGAATTCGGATACAATCAAATGATGGCAGATCGAATGGGTAGCTAGATAGATTCGAATTCAGTTGGGAAGATGTAGAACTGGCAGAGTAGTTTGACTCGAAGAAACCAGCAAACATATCGGCAATAATATTTTCGTCACTGGAAACTAAGTCATTTAACTTCAATGTTGAGGGATAACCGTTAGTCTTACGCTTAGTGTTCACAAATGCGTAAAACGATTTGGGATTAGAAACTATATTGAGTCGAACCCTGTTAATATAATTATTGTAACACTTTTTGTTCAATACATTGTATTTATGCCTAAGAATGGAGTACGCGGAGTAGTGAGAAGACAAGCCAGATTTTTTAAAAAGCTTAAAAGCTTTGGATTTTTGATTTTTTTAAGCGTTTCAATTCGCCAGTAAACCACTGCGCGTTAGACGTTACGTTAGCTTCCTTAACAAGAGGAATGATTTTACTGAAAATGTGGCGTAAGGAATTGCTAAAATGTAAGGCACTATCTTCAGCATTCCCATCATACTGGGGCCAAGTTATCTTCGATATCTCTAACCTAAGTTTATTATAATCTGCTGTTTTAAATGAGTAACGCTCCGCTCTTGATTTTTTACTGATAAAGCAACATGAGTTGCGTGAATTTATCAAGGACAATTCTAGTGGTGGGTGGTGAGAATCAACAGGGGTAATCAAAGCATAGCTAGGGGCTATTGTGACGTTGGAAACATCGTCCACAAAAACTAAATCCAGACATTTACCTAAGTTATTACTAACAGAGTTGATCTGGTAAAGACTAAGATCTGACAGATCGTTCAAAAATTGATTGAAGAGATCACGAGAGGAATTTGGTACTAGAATACCATCTATTAGATCCCAAGAAACACCCGCAAGATTGAAGTCACCCAGGACAATAACAGTATCGGAGGGCTTCACCATGGCATGTAGAGAGAGCAGTAAGGAGGAGTGTTTTAAATAAACAGAAAGGCTCGAGTTAGGTGGTATATAAGCAGCAACAAGATAAACGCTAATAGAATGATATCTTATTCGAACGCAGAGGAATTCAACTTCATCGGTGTCAGTGAACTCAATTTCTTCAGAAGAAAGGTCAGTCTGGACAGCGATTAAGACGCCTCCACCTTTTTTATTTAAACGGTCGTTTCGAAACACTTCATACTTAGGACACAAAATTTCCGAGTTGAACACATTCGGCTTGAGCCAGGTTTCAGTAAACACCAGTACTTTGAAGTCAAAATCATAGGACTGCAAGTGTAACCTTGATAGCTTTGTGTTCAAACCTCTCACATTTTGGTAGTAAATGCTAATGGTGAGGTTACTTATTAGTTTTTTGATGCCGAGGTGGAAAGCGGAAGTTGAGCCAAATTTTGCCCTTGCGGTCTAGATCTAAATTCAAATTCGCGAATGAAGGCACCGCTTGGCCAAAAAGATGGGCTCATTACTCTATCAAAGCAGTCTTCGGATATGTCTATTTTAAAAGAAGAAATGCTTCTTTCATACGAGAATCTGAACTTGCGTACATGCAACTCATTTGCTATCAGCCTGGAAGTTAAATACCCCTTCACATCATCGACAGTGGTATCTTTTGAAAACCTAGATATAAAGACCGATTTTTTGGAAGGGACAACGATTAAATCCCTCGGGACGGGGTTAACGCAATCGGAAACGGTTTCAGATGTGGTAGGGGGTTGCGGAACAGGGGGTTGCGGAACAGCTGTCAACTTTTTGGAAGGAGCAACGATGGCTTCGGATGTGGTAGGGGGTTGAGATGTAGTTGTGGAGTTTTTGGAAGGAGCAACGACTACTTGCATTGGAACGGTGTTGACGCAATCGGAGATGGCTTCAGATGTGGTGGAGGGTTGAGATGAAGCTGTTGAACAGGAATTTAGTGAGGCTCCAGTAGAAGAAGGACGTGGTTGGGGAGATTCAGTCAGCCGAGGAATCGGTGTGTTAAAGCTTATGAGTTCTTTGTTCATAGCTGGAGTCAAAAGTGGGCGGTTCTGCGGAAGATCCAGGTCCACAGTGATGGGATTCAACACAATATTTTCCACGCCTCTCCTACGTCTCTTAAGACCTTTTCCAGGAGAAGGAGAGGAGGAGGAAGTATCTAATAATTTAAATTCTTTGAATTCATCCTCATACTTCTTGAACTTCTCGTTGAGCAGTTTTAGCTCTTTGCTTATCTCCGAAAATCCATTTCTAGCGGTTCTAAATAGTTTACAGAGATCCACAACAGTTTTTTTACACTTTGGACATGACCAGCGAAGTCCATTGTCTCCAATAATCATATCCAGAACTCTCCCATTAATACCAGCACATTTTAAATGAGACAGTTCATCGCAAAGCCAGCACGCCACAAAACGGTCCGAACCGGCTTTTACATTACATTTTTCGAACAGACAGGACATTTTTAGCGAATTTTATTAAAAAAGAATAAAAATAGCGAAATTAGGAATGTATTGTACGAAAACGTTTCAAGCTCACAGTAATTGGCAGTTTAATAGCTAGTGGTCTTATTTAGTGAAGTTCAATGGTTAGAAACCGTGCTGAACTTAACAGTTTTAAAGCCACTGAGTTAACACAATCAGCTGTCACCAAGAAAGCGACTGTAGATGATAAACAAAGGTGTGTGTAAAGCGCGAAAGAAAGCAAAATGAACAAACAAATGCGATATTCCTTACACTCTCACGCAAAAGCAACAATAA